CCAAAGAAAAAAGACCTTTGATCTCCACTTCCAGATGGATTTAAGAACATTTTGCTCAATTCAGACCGAATGGTCTCCAACTTATTATTAAAGAGCGCATTCCATTCTACAAGAAAATCTTCATAGGGCCACCTACGTGGACGGCATCAGAAGAATTTGCCCTGGAAACATGGTGCACTGGTCGAGCTCAATGGGGTCTTCGAAGGATCGTGTACCATAACGACCCTTACTGGAAAGCTAGTTCCGAGGGGATTTGCACAGTGGTAGCTAATGCCTCTAGAAAACTATCCAACATTAAATCGATTCACGAAATTGCGTAAGAGCTTCAGGCTGAAGCTCTTACGGTAGACCTCCTTGAGCCTGACGACGGTGACAGATGACGTCATATTCTGAAGACGGTGAGGGCAGTGAAGGAGAGCCTGCGTTCACTATAGAGGAACACTTAGGGAATACTCTGCTGAGGAACTCCCGTCAACGACAGCAATCTCTGCGAAGAAAAAAGAGCCGAAGTCCGACATAGGCAAAATGTCTTTTTTTTTTGCCCCCCCCTGTACACTGCGTTCAATAATGATACAGCCACCTAAAATTTGTTCGAAAACTTAAGTTCATAGAGTTTCTGAAAAACTGTCCAGATAGAAAATGTGACAAATTTCATGGCGAGTTCAGATATCAACACAAAAATCCATGTTGAAAACACTAAAAAATTTTGTGCTTATTTTTTCAGAAGAGGTCGATTTTCCTATGTTCAAAAATGATACAGCCACCCCGTGTTTCTTCGTTGAAATTCATTTTTGCTTCATGAAACTGATTCGCAGTTATCAGGCTTTCACCTTAATGTTCCCACAAGATAAAAAAGACAGTTTTGAAAAAAAAGGTAAACTGTAGCAAAAAAACCAGGAATCGTCAAGCAGTCATATTGCGCAAAAATTGAGTCAAAGCTCCAATACGGTTAACAATCTTTTCTGGAATCCTGTAGGTTATGGAACAAGAAGAGCTCTGGATGTTCATCATTGCTTTTTGGTCAATTTAAACTTCGCATTTTGGGGAAACATTTCAATTTCATCGAACAGTGCCCGGAATTCCAGTCTTCTTTCAGAATTAAACTTTCAATGGATATTGTTTGGGATGTGTTGAGGATTTCCCGAGGTCATTCTTCAATGGAGAATTAAAGAAACCTTGTTTGTGAAAAGAGTTCTCACGATAACTGAGAAGATAATTTTTGCGCTCGAAAGTGTAGCCACGTTCACTGGAGCAAGATCAATTCTTTGGTCCGTTATGCTTTACTTTCTGTTTACTTTCTTTTGAGTCTTTCCTTGCTCATTAAGGGTTTTCTCTTTCATTAGACTCCTATGAAGCGAAAAACATTGAGGCGAGAAACGCAGACAGAAAGTAAGGCATAACGGACAAAAGAACTGATCTTGCTGCCAGTGGACGTGGCTACACTTTCGAGCAAAAAATTTCTCAGTTTTCGTGAGGACTTTCTTTTCACAAACAAAGTTTCTTCAATTCTCCATTGAAGAATGACCTCGGGGAAAATCTTTGAACATCCCAAATAATTATAGATCACGATGCCTTTCCTCTCGCACGTAGCACAGCCTCACATTTCTATAAGTCTCATTGCCATCTTCATTTCCTCCTTGTTGTTGATCGGTGGTGCACATTGCTTTATTTCCAATGCTTCCCTTATCTTTCGCTCGACCGGATCAACTATATTCCTGAAGAGAATGACAACACGAAGTTCCGGTGGCCTTTCTTGTGCGTGTCGAAGTGTGCGGTGTTTTGAGAATGGACTCTCTGGGTAGTTTTGAGGACTACGCAGGGCTCTTATGTGCTCGTCCATTCTCTTGTAGAGTGGCCTTCCCGTTTCTCCAATGTAACAATTCTCCACAACCGAGCACTCTACCTTATACACAACACACCTCATCTGGCAGCCTTTCGCATCGATTCTCATATAGACGTATGATGTCAGAATGCGTCGTAGCGAAGGTGGTGGTCGGAAGATCAGGTTTATTGGGAGTCCTGATCTTCTTACAACGCGGTCTATGTCCATTGCGAACTCATCGGTGATATATGGTAGTACGAGAGGAGTGCCAGATGGTGATCGACACGGCTTTCCAAGTACGATGTTGTCCTCTTTTATAACCATTTTGCCGCAATATTTCATCCACTTCAGGTCGTCACCTCTTGAATTCACGGAAGTCAGGTTACATGATGTCGAGATCATGTGATAAACGACATTCAGTTTCTCGTTTTGATGGACGAACCAACTTATGGGTCTTGACTAATTGGTAGTAAGTTGGTGTGCTTGTGTGCTTCGGCATCAATTGAGCCAAAATGTTCTTTTCAAGCTTTGGACCAAGTATCCTTGTGACAACTTCTTCAAGGTTCTTGCACTCTCGTTTGTAATGTTCAGGCAGTGACCACTGCATAGGTTGTGGCATCTGACAGAACAGTTTCGCATAGAGAGATGTCCCTTTCTTGCGACATCACAACAAAACCACCGCACTTATCTCCAACTGAAATCGCAACGACCTCTTCAAGTCAATGGCTTTTCTAAGACCTGCTCGCTCCATATTTGTCATATTGTCTGGAACTTGCCGTCTTCTATGTTCGTTGTATACTCGAAGAAGGTCCAGCTTGAGTGCGGCTGCTTCTCGAATTGAATTGTGGATCATGATGTGGTGTGCTGACATGGCTCTGAGTAGAAAGCATTTCTCTTCGTAGAGCTTTTTGAAGAGTCGGCACCGTGGGCTCAATTTGAATTCTCTAGGGGCAGTATTGGTAAATGGCGTCAGTAGTTGTAAATTGCGCCAGTAGTTGTACATAGCGCCAGTAGTTGTAAATGGTGTTGCATCTTATTCGTATTCCACTCCAAGCGGTGTTCCTCAGGGACTTGCCTGGGGCCCTTGCTGTTTATTGTCTACGTTAACGATTTGGTTGAATCTCTCCCAGTCGGTGTCTTCTGCAGCATGTATGCCGATGACTCGAAAATCTATACTATAAATGATTGGGAAAAACTACAAACAGCCATAGACATCATTGAGAGATGGTCAAGCCATTGGAAACTTGAAATTTCCGTTTCAAAAGCGGCAATCATGTGTATTGGGAAAAACCATCCCAATGTCACATTCTCCTAGTCTGGGAACCAACTTATGCAAACTCACGAAGTGCGGGACCTAGGTATCGTTTATGACGATAAACTTGGCTTTGACAGTTATGTACATGGTACTTGTATCAAATGCAAATTCGAGGGCTAATTTCATTCTTAGATCATTTAGGACGCGCGACCCTCTTCTCCTTTTTCGACTTGACCTCTACGTTAGACCTGTACTTCAATTTTTGCTCACCTATTTGGTCGCCCCATGAAAAGTCGCTAAATGAGATTGAAGGTCCGGAGAATATTTACATACCGATGCTTCATTCGAAAAAGTGTTAGTTCACTTTCTTATGAGCAGTGTCTTCGTAAACTGGGGACTGATTCATTTCAAGGCGCACTGTATTCGACTATGGACTACTTTATGACAACTGGAGAGATTTCCTTAAAATTACGCGACCTGTTTGAAATCCCGCCTACCATTGGTATCCCTAGAGGTCACTCTTACCGTGTGCGGCCATATAAACCTAACTCGTCTAATAATTCATTACTTGTACGAGTAGTGAATATTTGGAACAGCTTAGAATCTGACTTTTTCAGATGAAGCACGCTTCTTTGTTCCAGAGTCATCTTGCATTACACCTTAAAAGCTCTAATTTCGCGCCTAGCGAAAGTCACCAGCTCCAGTAAGGTTGTTCGATAAGTTCATGCTACATTTCTTATAGTTAGCTCGAATTCAACTAGCGTTATTTCCTGAATAATACTTTTTCAAGACGAGAAGCGATCCGCTCATGTTCTTGCTTTGTTTCTGGATCTTTCTCCAAGCCTCTGATTAGCTGTTACGATTTTCCCCCAATGTACCTTGGAAATTGTTCCGGTCATTTATGAAGTTGCCGTTGTATCCTTCTTCTCTCAGTGGCTTCTCTTGGTTTACTCTTCTGTTGTTTTTTATGCGTCTTTCGCCTTGCCTCCCCACTCCTCCCCTCGACATTCTACCGCTCTGGCATGTGGACTTCAGCAACGTTGGCGGACCTACTACGATGGTATCCGGAGTTCTCATTCACGCCCGTGAGAACTTGCAGTGTTGGCGGCCCACTGCCCTTCTGCGTCCTTCACTCCACTGCCGGCGGCCTCCTCTCCCCTTCCGTTTTTTTTATTTATATAACTAGCTCACACTACAGTTCATTGGATGAGTTCCCTGATGTTCTTTGGTACTTGAGTTCTATTTTATGAGCCACCTTTGTTATAACGTCGAACTGATGATAATAAATATAATATAACATAATATATTAGGTCGGTCCACAATTTTTGAGAACCTTTGGTGTTTTTCGATTTATTACTTATCTTATTTCTCTGATCTACTTATCCAGCATAGTATACATCATTATTATTAACAACATATCACCAATGCGAGGGTGGGTATTCAGTGCCTCTCTTGTGGACTTTCATAGAGTTCTGATCGAAGGAAAATTGTAGTCCCGAATCAGTTCTCAACCCAATCTGACATCATCAAGTTCCTGTTGGTTTCCTATAGTTCCTTCGGATGACCATCTATAATACTCATTGGTGATGTGGACTGGGTGCAGTGTGCTAACAAATCCACGAGCCGCAGTAGATTTGCTCAAACGATTCGGGAGTTCTGACAGTAAAACCCAACTCCCTCTGAATTCGAACTTCCTGAGTCGTTGGCGCAATACGGGAGGGCCTTTGCGCTGAAGACCGGCATCAACTAATACCAGTGTCAGTGATGGGAAGAATCGTTGACAGCTTGATGGCAACGCCTTCAACTTGAAAGCAAAGGAAATTCTATTGGGTTGTCTCATAATTCCTGTCGCATTTCTATTCAATTTCAAATTCCTTCCGTCTAAGACCGTTTCATTGCGAAATACGTTAGTATGTTGAAGTATGCTTCAAGAGCCTTAACAGCATGGTTTCGGAAGCGCAAGCCCTTAACGGGTTAATCAACTAGGAATAAAAATAGGTCAGTGACTGCAATGAATGATTATGCTTTACGATCCTCAAATGAACTCTGTAGCAAGGAGGACAACAGAGAAGATCAGCGCTGTGTTTGACTCAGTCTCTGCTACTGATAGGGTACTGAGCTAGTGGACCAATCGCAACGGCAAAGACGAAACGAGCTATGAACTTCAACCTCATACTGGGCCTGCGGTCATTTTTGATGAGCGCCCCTTGCACCCTAAATTGGGAGTGCCTCCGCACGTTGCTACCAGGGTATTGTAGCAGATACCTGAGCGCAGCCGATGCACCAGCACACGCCATCAGTATGGCAAGGACTGCTGCAGAATGAAGTTTTGATGGAAACCTTATGGTCCGGCCGACCATGAGCGGGAAGCACGCCTGACCATCTGGGGAAAACCCATTCTGGACGGCAAAAGCAGAGCCTTCCCTAATCGGTCACCAGTGGAAATGAGTCATGAGTCCACTGCGACAACAACATGCGGCACGTCTGATGGCTGCCTCGCAGCCAGGAAGCACCAGCTCAACCAAAGCCCGAACTCCGTTTTCTGAGAATATCGCTCTCGTTTTGTTGGATTCGCTAGGTGGCCTGGTTTGGGAACCACTTCAATGTATGAAGACAAGCATTGCTAAAGTCAGCGCGGAATAGCCCTCTAGGCTGGCTTCGAGAATCGTCAGAAACGTCTCAGATTCTCCTTTCTCCGAATGTACGCCAGACCTCACATTGCAATGCCAACTCACCACGTTCTGAGGGAGATAGCCAGGGCCACGATACCTCATCCACCATATAGCATTGGCATCGCTCTATCGGACTATCGCCTCCCCTGCGCTTTGAATAAGCATCTGCCAGAGAAGAAAGTTAAAGATTGCGACACCCCAAAAACGACTTCTCCAAATTCTTCAACCCCCAGCTTCCTTCATTCTGGGCTGGAAGCTTCCAAACGCTCACTAGCAAATGCACGCATATCAGTGACCATGATGGTGGTTATGCTATTGATCAGTTGTTTCCCAGAAGAGATAAAACTTGAATAAACAAAAGTGTCGAAATTGCGACAGGAATTATGAGACAACCCAATATTTTTCTCTGAGGTCGTTCGAGCCCGCCTTGCTAAGAAAATTCCTAAAAAATTGGAGACTCTCGGGCGGTCAGTTCTTTTAGCTCCGCCTTGTAGCACTAATCCTGCGTCAACGAACGACTATCCGCTCTCCTCTCTCAATCACCTTCTGGAGAAGAAATCTCACTTGAATCACCATAAAGTCAAAATCGACATCCAATATTTCTTCGATCAGAACTCTATGAAATTCTACAAGAGAGACACTGAATACCCACCCTCGCATTGGTTATATGTTGGTAATAATGGTGATGTATACTGTGCTGAATAAATACACTGCGTTCAATAATGATACAGCCACCTAAAATTTGTTCGAAAACTAAAGTTCATAGAGTTTCTGAAAAACTGTCCAGATAGAAAATGTGACAAATTTCATGGCGAGTTCAGATATCAACACAAAAATCCATGTTGAAAACACTAAAAATTTTGTGCTTATTTTTTCAGAAGAGGTCGATTTTCCTATGTTCAAAAATGATACAGCCACCCCGTGTTTCTTCGTTGAAATTCATTTTTGCTTCATGAAACTGATTCGCAGTTATCAGGCTTTCACCTTAATGTTCCCACAAGATAAAAAAGACAGTTTGTTTTGAAAAAAGGTAAACTGTAGCAAAAAAGGACCAGGAATCGTCAAGCAGTCATATTGCGCAAAATTGAGTCAAAGCTCCAATACGGTTAACAATCTTTTCTGGAATCCTGTAGGTTATGGAACGAAGAAGAGCTCTGGATGTTCATGAAGAATGTTCCGGAACATGCGACAGCAGAGGCGTTGGCGGTGTGGGTGTCCTCGTCAACACGCACTTGGCCATAAACATCGATTCGTACGAAAGCCTTACGACCCGAATCGGACGTTTGAGATTGAGAAGATGTGGTTCAACTCCTGCTTTGACAATCTTCGTCGCCTACGCACCAACATCCAGCTACGACGAGGAGGAACACGAAGCATTTTATATGGAATTGGAGAAGTTCTACAGGGAAGATCATACCTTCTTCAAGGTCATCGTCGGCGACTTCAACGCTAAGATTGGCCCAAAAAAGAGAAGATTAACATGGGTAACAACATGTGCCATGGGTCATGGAATAGAATGAAATGAGCAGGAAGAACATAGTGGAGACCAACACCATCCATGGTAACTCACAGTTCCAAAGCCCTCTCACCTTCGTTGGACTTGGGAGTCACCTGATGGACAGTTCCATAACGAGATAGACCACATCATCTTCAATCGAAGGTTTTGCCTGACCGACGTCGCTGTTGTTCCAAAGTTCTACACGGGATCGGACCATCGTCTCCTCCGCGCAAGATTCCACTTCTCGATGCGTGTTGAGAGAGCAGCAAAGTTCAGGAAGCGAAGCCCCAATACAGCCAAACCGGCTCCAATATAATAACTGAGACTACTTCAGTTCTCTTACAAGCTTAGGTGGATTCCGTTATCAAAAGAATCGGCGAGAAATAGCGCTGACTCACTAGCCGTTTTCACGATAGGGGGGCAGGAAGGCAGAAAGTCTGAGAATCACCAAGGAAGGTTGATCTCCTAAAACTCACGAGCTCATACGCCAACGTCGAGATGGAACAGTACATCCTGAATAGAAAAGACGGGAAATGGAAAAATCATCCACGACATTCTCTTCGATAGCCTATCTGCCCACTTATCAACTGCAACAGGATGGGTATGTTGTTCCTTCGGTTCTCTCTTTCAATCCGACATGCGATCAGTTGATGGAAAACCGTACAGTGCCCGGTCTCGACAGGGTCAAACCGGAACATCTGAAGAATTGCACACAGTTATCATCAGAACTCTGGCTCGACTCTTCACGCGCTACCTGTCGGAATGCAAGGTACCCACTCCGTGGAAAACCAGCAGGACCGTGTTGCTGTACAAGAAGGGAGACTTGGACGACATTGGCAACTATCGCCCAATCTGCCTGCTGTCTGTAATCTACAAGCTATTCACACGAGTCATCCTTAACAGGATCGGCAGAATACTGGATGAAGGACAGCCATGCGAGCAAGCAGGGTTTCGAAGAGGGTTCAGCACGATCGACCATATCCACACGGTTACAAGACTCATTGAAGTTTCACGAGAGTACAAGATGCCGCTTTGTCTCACGTTCCCAGGCGACCTTGAGGCAGAAGCGGTCATCGAAGCCTTGTGCAATCATTGCGTTCCTATTGAAGAATTCTTTGAAAGCTATATAGCACTTTTACAACCAGAATTACACCATTCTACAAGAAGGCCGTCATCGACCTGAAGGGATGGGTTAAATGGGGCGACATTAGTCTCCCGAGCGCCGCTCTCGTTAGTTGCGTTAGTTCGTAGCATGTGTTAGTTCGGTGGAGACAAGGTCGAAGGTCGACGGCCGGCAACTACACCACCTTCGTTTTGCTGACGACATCGTTCTTATAACGCCGAACATCGAGCAAGCGGAGCGAATGCTGGCTGATTTCGACTGCGCCTGTGGTAAGGTCGGTCTACAGCTGAACCTAACGAAGACGATGTTTATGAGAAACGGATTGGTTCCTGATGCCCCATTCACGCTCAACGGAACGAACATCACCGAATGCTCCAGCTACGTGTACCTAGGTCGGGAAATCAATATGATGAACGATCTAGCTCCAGAGCTGAGCAGGAGGAAACGAGCGGCTTGGGGAGCGTACAAGAACATCGAGGGAGTAGTGAAGAAGACGAAGAACATCCGGCTCCGTGCCCACCTCTTCGATTCCTTCCTGCCCTAACCTACGCCTCAGAGACTTGGACTCTGCGCAGGCAGGACGAGCATGCGGTCCCAACGCGCTGTCGAGAGGACGATGCTAGGAGTAACCCTATACACGCAAGTGCAGAGGGGAATCCGGAGTGCCGAACTACGCCAACGATCGAAGATCAGGGACGCTGCCGTTTTCGCCAAGGAATCGAAGATAAGGTGGGCCGGACACGTCATGCGATTTTGCGATGACCGTTGGACCAGAGCGGTTACCGACTGGATTCATTGGAGTGTCAACACCAGCCCGATGGTCAGACGTCTTCACGAGAGGTCCGAACGAGGGATCCCTCGATCAGAAAGAGGGTTCCACTGGTCTACTCCTAAACGCAACACGGACGAATGAAGACTTTTTGGCACCTGTTCGAGCAAATGGATGATCAACGCGACAGGTGATACGTGAATTACTGACCTGACATTGGACGTGATTATTGCGAAGCATTGAGCGCCAAAGTTCCGTTATCTTCTCAGTATAAGATCTGTCCTTTTTTGATGGTACTTGCGGATCTCGAACATTTACAAACATCATCAGGGTTTCACCTCTTTTCGTCATTTTGAGTAACTCCTCCGGATTTTTAGCCTAAACAAACACGGCAACAGGAAGAAGTTTAACTAGGTATGATAAGCGAAACTCTCATACCTCTGAGCCATGTTCCTTTAAATCGATGGCAACTTTTTTACGCTTTAGTATTTGTTCATCGTCATCATCATCACTTTC